TCCATCTTTCTTTTTAACGAGCAGCACCGGTGATGAAAAGGCACTGCTACTGTGTTGAATTTAGACGGGCTGCGCACCAGGGATCAGTGGAATGGTCACAAGACCGCGAAGGCGGCAATGATGTAGGTTCAGCAAACAAGTCCTTGAACTCATGCAACAACTGTTGAACGGCATCTGGAAGTCGAGATGGTGTACTGTCAGTTGAGTCTGGGACTGGCAACAGTTCAATATGCAGTAACAGCTGTTGAGGTAACAATGGTGCGACACCTTGTAACACTCTGATCTGGCCACCATATGGGACTGCTAGCCATTTGTGACGCCAGTTAACTTGCATTGGACTATGGGCCTCCAACTAGTGCATACCGATTACCACATCGAAATTTGCCAGTGGCAATGTCCTGAAATCAGAACTGAAACTGCACCCATCCATAATCCAGTGAACATTGCGCAGGATCGAATCACAGTAAAGCACACCGACGCCTGCGACCTGCACTGAACTCGGCACACTGGAAACTTGCAAATGCTGTAGCTGAGGGACCAATGAATGATTGATGAACGAAGAAGAGCTGCCGGAATCAATCAAAATCTGTACTGGTACGTTCTGGAGTTGGCCCACCAATCTTATAGTACGTGCTGCCTGAGTGGAGTGCTAACACCCTTCAAACTATTTGTGAAAATATGCTAACACACATATACAAATGTGATACACATTGTATTTAGCACTTGGGAGCCAGGGTTCGAAATTTCACCGGCGGAGTGTCCGACGGTGCCACCAACGCCTCCCTATCTGAAAAAGACAGGGTTTTGCACAGAATGCACCGATGTCTGGTCACGCAGCGCGACGGACCGGACGAGTCCAGCGTCCGGTCGATGGCGTCTTGAAAAAACCACCCTCAGTCTCTTCACCGGACGCAGACGACCGGACTATGGTTGAACACTGTTCAGCGTCCGGTCATGCTGATGTGGCAGCGCAGAGAAGAGAGGGAGTGATCGGACATTGGGTGAGTCTGGTCAGGCGTGACCGGACGCGTCCGGTCGAGAGTGGAACCTTACTGGAAACGACCGGACGCTGGTGTTGGTGCGTCCGGTCACTTCGAGCAGCGCGTCCGGTCACAACTTAAGTGTACTGATGACCATTGAGATCAGACGATCAACATTTGAAGCAGGGGCCACGTGGCGTGCATCGCGCGACCGAACGCTAGGGTCCTGTGTCCGGTCTATCTGACCGACGCGTCCGGTCGCCCCGAGTTTTCAGGGAATAGAGAGCCAACGACTCTATTCGTGGGGCTCTCTATTTAAGCCCCTTGGCCGGCTCAAGCTCACTCTCTTGGCCATTTGCATTGACATAGCAACCTTGTGAGTCTAGCCAAAGCCCTCCCACTCATCTCCATCATTGATTCATCATCTTTGTGAGATTGAGAGAATCCAAGTGCATTGCTTGAGTGATTGCATTTAGAGGCACTTGGTGTTCGTGTTTTGCTGCGGGGTTCTCTTGTTGCTCTTGGTGATTGCCACCACCTAGAAAGCTTGGTACAGCGGAGGAGGATTGGCACGAGTTGGTGATTGTTCGTGGCCATCTCCGGTGATTGTGAGAGGACTTGTGCCTTCCCCGGCGGAGCGCCGAAAGATAACTTTAGTGGATTGCTCGTGTCATTGAGTTATCTCACTTGTGGATAGGTTCTTGCGGTGTCCAATTGTGTAGATGAGGTTCATGCAACACCTCTTAGCCGTCGAACCACCAAGTGTTGGTCGACACAACGGGGACGAAGCGTGTTGGCAAGCATGTGAACCTCGGGAAGAAAATTGGTTGTCTCTTGCTCTTTGGTATTATCCCGGTGATTTGAGTTAGTATTCATCTTGTGATTGGTTCATTCCTCTACGCGGTGGTATAATCACCTTACTTACATTTATATACCCGCAAACTAGTTATAGTAAGCTCTTTATTGTAACCAGAATTGAGAGCTTGCTTTATAGCTTAAGTTCATCTTGTGGAGCTCTTTAGTGTAGTAAGTGTGAGAGCTCTTAATGAGTAGTGACTTAGTAAATTATGTGTCTAGTGATCATAACAACTAGAATTATTGGATAGGTGGCTTACAACCCTTGTAGAGCTAGAGCAAGTTTACTTTTCGCTATTTATCATACTAATCAAATTACTCTAGTTGGTTTATAGATTTTTAAATAAGCTATTCATCCCCCCTCAAAGTCATATTAGGACCTTTCATCTGCTCACTTCACTCTTCTCTCGTATAGTCTATCAAGTAGACTACTTGCTCTAGGCTGGGCCGACGTAGCGGCTGCTGGGCTTCCTGATCCTGGTGGGCTGGGCCACGGTCGACGCATCAGCGGAAGCCGGGGTCGAGTCGGTAGCTGCTGCAGGTGGGTCCGGGATGCTGACACCACTTCACGCCTCTGCGACTGCAGCGCGCAACATGATGGGAGGCGGGCCGGCGGCAGCAGGAGACGATCCAGTGACCAGTGGCATGGCTGCACGGCGCTGGCGGGGATGCAGGATGCGGGCCGACGTCGGTGAGAGGCTGCCAGGTGGGGCGACGGCGCGACGCAGGCGGGATGCTCGCGGGGGCGGGCGGCGGCCGGCGCTGGAAGCGGCGGCTCACGGGTGTTGGAGAGGTGAGAGTGAGATGGTGTCTGCTTTATTTGGAGAAAATTGGAAATTTTGGATTTATGGTTTGGTGAGGTTGTCGGTGGGCTGGCCGGCGGGATTGAAGTTTCTGGCTATCCGTGACCATGAAAATTGGACCGATATATGAATTTTATCTAGGGAAAAATATGAAATTTTAGAATTTTCTTTTTTTTGGCGAAATTTCGCTCAAATTGCTAGCCCTTCGGTACCCAGCAAAAAGTACGAAATCGCCGGATTTTTTTTTGCGAAAAATTGTGAAATTTCGGTACCCACTCGATGTCGATGACGACTCGTGATTCGAAGAAGCCCTTGGGTACGGACGTACGGTGGATGCACCAGCCGTCCTGAAGAGGCCAAATGCACCCTATACCCGTGCGCATCACCTTGCTAGTCGGTAGAAACAAGAATGTAGTTTTATTCATAAGGCCTCGTTTGTCTCTTCCTCCTAAACTTTAGTTTTTATCACATCGGATGTTTAACACATGCATTATGTATTAAATAAAGATAAAAAAATAACTAATTACACAGATTGCGACTAATTTACGAGATAAATTTTTTAAGCCTAATTAATCCATGATTTGACAATGTGATGCTAAAATAACACATGTGCTAATGATGGATTAATTAGGCTTAATAAACTCATATCGCGGATTACTGAGGACTTGTGTAATTTGTTTTATTATTACTGTCGGCACACATGACACCCCCACGTGACACCCCTAAAATTAGCCCCTGGATTTAAACAAGGCCTTATAGTTCCACACCTCTTAACCATTAACTTTCCACACCTCTTAACCATAACTTTCCAAAGGGCCCTAGTCAACGATAGATTACATAAATAGAATGAGGTTGTCCCGAAATGGTGGTGACCACCGAGTTCTCGATCTTAGAGCTGGCTTCCGGTGGTCTCTTAACCATTAACTTTCCACATCTCTTAACCATAACTTTAGATTACATAAATAGAATGAGGTTATCCCGAACCGATGTGGTGACCACCGAGTTTTTGATCTTGGAGCTGGCTTCCGGTGGTCTCTTAACCATCAACTTTCCACACCTCTTAACCATAACTTTCCAAAGGGCCCTGGTCAATGATAGATTACATAAATAGAATGAGGTTGTCCCGAACCGGTGGTGACCACCAAATTCTCGATCTTGGAGCTGGCCGAGTTCTCGATCTTAGAGGTCCACCGAAACTGACAATATATAAGGCCTTTGGGCCTTACTCAACCCAAAAAACTAGCCTAATAGGTGGAGGTTCTTCCGTCTTATATGTTGTGCTCCTCCACCATCACTACACGATGTGGGACTAAACCCCAACAGTATCTAGCTTGAACAGCTGGAGTAGCTACCTTTTCGCAACTCTCATGTACGGTCCAGTTAACTGGAACGTTTGCTTGAAATGAAAGTTTGGTGGGGAAACTCTCCCCGTTTGATTAAAAAAAAATTACGATCTTTATTTGGTCCTTTCAAGGGTGTGATTTTAATGACCAAATTAAAGGAAATCTCCTTAAGCAAAATTGAAATGGCACTGTAATTATTGCTTTTGCATCAAAAAAGAAATCATCCATCACCTCATTTTTTATAGTCATGTAGCAAGTTTAAAAAGAACTTCAAGTCACATTCGCTCACAGACCGCCAAAAAGTATGTCTATGTCTGCACTATCAAGAGTAAATCAAGAAGATAGATGAACTGCAAAATGGCAGATTAGTTTGAATGTTTGATTCATCGATCCTACAAGCCACTGCCAAAGAATATGTGGGCTCTCGCAGTCAATTTCAGATATGCAGATTTACACACATATTGATAAAAAAAATTGAGCTTTATAGATAACAAAAACATACATAGCAGTATAGCACGCGCCAATCGTACTATACAATGGGACAACGGGTAGCAATAGCACACCTTAGCATAGAGGTAATAAATATTCCACATACATACTTGAGGGCAATTGAAAATCTGACTCATAAAAGTCCAACAATCTCATACGTATGTTCAGATGTTTCTGTCGATACGGCTAGAAGTCTGTCATGTAGAGTGGTTTTGCAAAGCAAACTTCGAGTCATATATAATATAAGAAAGACTCAAATGAATTTAAGAAAAACAGACATATACATAAGGACTTGCATTGTGATACTACGCAAGACATGAAACACAAATAAGATACAATAACAAGTTCACTTACCAGATTATTGAGAGGATAATAAAAAGTCAGCATGATAGTAATGTAATAGTGCGACACTTACAAACAGAAAAATTAAGCACTTTTCAATGGATTTAGGTACCATTTGCCGAACTCAAAATGCCATAATAAAGCTAGTGCTGTAGCCACAGGCTACAATGGATACATGCTGCCGGCCTCTATGCTCCAACCTTCTCCCTCAGCTCATCAAGAATGGATGGGAATTGTTGCGCCAGCTGAACGAAACCATCTGTTAACACAAACTTCTTGAAGTTCTTCTCACCTGCAATGAAGTCAGTGCAGTTCTTTTTCAGCTGCGGGCAGTTGTATGTTTCATCGCAGCTCAAAGTGGCAGCAACTGTGTCCACTGACATATTATGCCACAGATCTGCAGCACACAAAATCTTCAGACGATCCAAGGCGAAGCGGTCCGCTGCAGCCAGCAAGTGCCGAACAATGCCATCCCTCCTCAGGATAAGCATCGGTGTAAATGAACCGGAGCATGACTTTAAACGTTGCCGGCGCAATGTCATGCAAGGAGATGGATGGCATCTTGGCGTCCACCATGGAGCCCAGGAGCTGCGCCTTGAAGACAGGCGAGCGGGCAGCAAGCACAGCCCGGTGAGCAGGGAACTTCTTACCGTCGACGATGAATGAGACATCAGAACCCTCTGCGCAATCCAGCAGGAGGCCGAGATGGGTTCCCATGTCCAAGGGTGGCACCTCGAGGCGGTCTTCATGTACAACTTTGACTCCGCACATAATGATGAAGGAGCCATTACTCATGTACAGCGACTCTAGTACGCTTCGCTCCACGCCTCCACCAAGTGAGCCCAACACCAGCCGTCGTTGACGCTGCCTTTTGGTTCGAAAACGTTCACCAACCTTTTTTTATGGGAGGAAGATGGAGTACCGTCTTTGTCCATCACGAAGGCCTCGAAGATAGCTTTGACGTCTTTGGATTACTCTCATGCTTGAGGGCAATAGATAAGTACTCACCATTTTCCTCTGTCCTAACCCCACGCGGGTAGCAGTAGATCCTCCAGAGGTGCCCACCAGCGAAGATATCCTCGGAGCTGACTGAGTGCCCGATGGCGACCTTCTTCGTCTCCAAAAAGTTGAGCTTGAACTGATGCGTGAAACTGCAGGAATCGAACACGCTGGCACTCATGTTTACAGCAGCTTGACGGGGTCGCAGGTAGAGGAGTGTAGGACACTACTGCATCTCAGATTTTCAGTGTAAGTATAGTGCTACTATTACGGCCATCGATGGGTGTACAGACGAAGCATGGCCTATGCTTAGAGCTCCGAGCAGCCGAACAGTGAAGAATGGAAGTAGGGAGGAGATTGATCGTCTCCGGAACAAGGACCGATGTGTTGTTGGGACTATGGTTAGTAAAGAGAGAACGAAGATCGATGACCACTTGCCCGCTTCAGGCCTTTGCTCGACTGCAGCAGCGCGACGATGGTGGGAGGCGGGCCGGCGGCAGCGGGAGACGGTCCAGTGACCAGTGGCTTAGCCGCGCGGCGCTGGCAGGAATGCGGGATGCGGGCCGGCGTAGGCGGGACGCGAGCGGGAGAAAGGGCAGCCCCGGCGATGGCGGCGGCGGCGGCTCACGTGTGTTGGTCTGTTGCAGTCTGTTCGATTTGGGGGAAATTGGAATTGGGGATACGGTCGGAGTGATTTAGGGTTTGGTGGGAATTCTATGGTGGGCTGGCTGGCGGGAATTGAAGTTTCGGGCCACACGAAATTTGGGCGCGGGCCGAACTTGGCTCAGAAATTTGACCGGTATGTTTTTTTATACCCAACAAAAAATATGAAATTTTGAAATTTTTTTGGTGAGCTTTCAGTGAAATTGCAAACCCTTCGGTACCCAGCGAAAACTACGAAATTGCACAGATATTTTTTTCTAGTGCATTTGCAAGATTGTTACAAAATGGCGCCTAGATTATTAAAAGTTGTTTGCGAAAGCTATATATCCATCTATTTCAACATTGGATTTTTAAAAGCCACCATCCAAAGCTAGGAAAAAACGTAAACAAATCTAGGATGAACTAGATGGCTTTTAGTAAGAAGAAATTACGCCATCTATTTCGAAATGGTAAGCACATTTTGTAAAAAAGAAAATCAAAATTTTCAAACTTTGACCGGCCACTCGCCATCCCTGCTCGCAAACGTCGCCGCGATGGCTAATCCCTGGTCGTGCCGTGCTGCTCGCCGCCTCCTTGCGCTCTTGCTCGCGCCGCCATGCCAGATGTCGGGCCGCTTGTCGAGCGTTGTCCAATCATGTGTCGTCAAGCCCATGCCGCCACTTGTGGAGATGCAGGTTAGGGTTAGGGTGTGAGTAGGAGTGGGAGTCACTGAGTCAGGGAGTGCCCGGGGCTATTGGGGTGGGGGACTCGGGGGTTTGGGCGTTGGGCCGTGGTGGGCTGGCCGACTGGGGCTGCTTCCTCCTCTTTATGCAGATGCCCTGAAGGCTACGGTTGCTACGGTTCTTCAGTTCAGTTTGAGTAGGAAACCAAAACTAAAGCCGAGCACCGAACTTCTGAAATGCATGAATTGAAAACTGAATGCTCAGTTGGGTTTGCGGTTTTCAGTGGAAAAGTGCCTAGTCCTAGCTAGAAACAAGAATGTATTAGTTATTCATATTCTTAGTTTGACACCTCTTAACATAACTTTGTAAAGGGCTAGTCAGGGATATATTACATAAATGGAACGAGATTGTCCCAATGGTTGCATTTGTGCATTTGGGCAAATCAACATGATTCAATCAAATGGAGTCTTACTAAACAATCACTTATGGTACAGACAATGTATAGACAGTTAGTAAACCTAATTGTATCACCTCTAAATAAGCTTTATGGAAGTTAAAATTACATCTTAAAAGTTGAAATTAAGGTCTTTATTTCGTCCTTTTTAAGAGTGATTTTAACCAAAGCCAATCTCCTTAAGCAAAACTGAAATGGCAGTGTAATTGTTGCCTTTTCATCAATAAAGAAACCATCCATCACCTAATTTGATGTTGCATGTTTAAAAAACAGTTCAAGCTAGTCGCATTTTTCCACAAATGTGCAACCATGCACGTCTTTCGTTGAGAGGCTAGAATCGAAACACTACATACATAGCCAGCGCATCGTCATGGAACACGAGGACCACAAAGAATCAATTGTAGATATGCATAGATTTACACAGTACATATTGGTTAAAAAAAACTTTGAGCTTTATTGATTACGAAAACATACTTATACTCTTACAACAATACACTTTTATATGTATCATGGACCGTAGGCCAAACATAGCACGCTCCCATCATACTACGTTGGGACAACTATGGCATGGCAGTACTACTCCATAGCATAGAGCCTCTATGATAGAGGTTATAAATGTTTCAGATACATTTTTTAGACAAAAGAGAAAATCCAGCTTCAGCTTTCTTTCAGAAAGAACGAAGCATCAGTGCATGCTTAAAACAAGTATACTACTCAGCATAGAGGTAATATTCCAATACATACATACTCAGAGGGCGATTGAAAACCTGACTCCTAGAAGTCCAACCATCTGATGTGCATCTTCTGATATCTACACAGCTCAAAATATTTCTGTCATGTAGAGTGAGTTTGCAAGAAAGATTTGAATTGTATAATATATATGAGAAAGAATCAAACAAATATTTAAAAAACAGACATAAACATACAGATTTTCATTGTGAACTTGTGACACAAATATGCAAAGACATGCAATACGAATAAGACACAATAAGGACTTCACTTGCGAAACTGTTGATAGGATAATAAAAAATCTACATGATAGTAACATAATAGTAGCTGACACTTACAAACCGAAAATTTAAGCACTTTTAAATAGATTTAGATAGCATTTGCCGAACCTAAAATGCCATAAAGCTAGTACTATAGCCATAGGCTAACATGTATACATGCGTACTGCATCTATGCTCTAACCTTCAACTTCAGCTCATCAATAATCGATGGGAATTGTTGCGCCAGCTGAAAGAAACCATCTGTTAGCACAACCTTCTTGAAGTTCTTCTCCTCCGCAATGAAATCAAAGCACTTCTTTTTTAGCTGTGGGCAATTATGTGTTTCAGCACAGATCAAAGTGTCAGCAACTGTGTCCACTGACATATTATCCCGCAGATCTGCAGCACACAAAATCTTCAGACGATCCAAGGCAAAGCGGTCCACTGCAGCGAGCAAGTACCGAACCATGTCATCTGGGGAGTCCCCGAGCTCGTCATCCTCAGGATAAGCATCGGTGTAAATGAACCGGAGCATGACTCGGAACGTCGCCGGCGCGATGTCATGCAAGCTGATGGATGACATGTTGGCATCGGCCATGGAGCCCAAGATTTGAGCCTTGAAGACCGGCGAGCGGGCCACAAGCACAGCCCGGTGAGCAGGGAACATCTCACCATCGATGATGAACGAGACATCAGAGCCGTCCGTGCAATCCAGCAGGAGGCCAAGATGGCAGCCAATGTCTGAGGGCGGCAACTCGAGGGGGTCGTGCTGCTCAACTTTGACCCCACACATGATGATGAACGAGCCATTCGTCACGTAGAGCGATTCTAGGACGCTTCGCTCCACAAAGCAAGGCCAACCCCGGTTGTCGTTGTCACTGTCCATTGGTGCGAAAACGTGCACCAACCTGTTTCTATGGGACGACGATGGAGTACCGTCCTTGTCCATCACGAAGGCCTCGAAGATAGCTTTGACGCCTTCGGATTTGCTCTCATGCTGGAGGAAGATAGATAAGAACTTACCGCTGTCACTTTCCTCCCCGCGTGGGTAGCAGTCGATCTTCCAGAGGTGTCCACCAGCAGAGATGACCTCGGAGCTGACTAAGTGCCCGATGGCGACCTTCTCCGTCTCCAAAAAGTTGAGCTTGAACTGATGAGTGAAACTGCAGGAATCGAAATCGAACACGCTGGCACTCATGTTTACAGTAGCTGAATGGGGTCGCAGGTAGAGGAGTGTAGGACACTACTGCATCTCAGTGTATATATAGTGCTACTGTTACGGTCATCAGTGGGTGTACAGACGAGGCATGGCCGACACTAGCAGTGAAGAATGTAAGTAGATCATATCCGGAACAAGGAACGCTGTGTTGTTGGGAATTAGTAATTAGTAAAGGGAGAAAGAAGATCGATGACCGCTTGCCCGCTTCAGGCCTCTGCTCGACTGCAGCGGCGCGACGATGGTGGGAGGCGGGCCGGCGGCAGCGGGAGACGGTCCAGTGACCAGTGGTGTGGCCGCGCGGCGCTGGCGCGAATGCAGGATGCGGGAGGGAGGCGGCCAGGCGGGGCGATGGCGCAGCCGCGCGGGACAGGCGGGAGGAGGCAGCCAGGCGGGGTGACGGCGCGGCAGCGCGGCGCAGGCGGGACGCGCGCGGGCGGCGCTTGCGGAAGCGGCGGCTCACGACTCTGTTGGATTTGGGCGAAATTGGAAGTGGGGATACTGTTGGCAGTGATTTAGGGCGCGTTTGCGACCCTGGCCCGATGGCCTGGCTGCGCCCTCCGTGTGCAGCTTCCCGTGTTTGCGAGCTAGGGCCCACCAGCGAGCCAGGCCCAAACGATGCAAATCGCACTCTCTCTCATGGCTCCCGTGAAACGCGACTTTCCTTTGTTTCTTGAGCCCGCTCGTTGAAGCGCGTCTTGGGCTCGCGTGGGCTCGTGGTGGGGATGGAATCACCTCCGACTCCTTTCTCACCCACCGCGCAGAGCGGCGCGTCTGGTCGAGCGGCTGTCGGTGGTGGCGGAGCGGCGTCCGGGGATGAGGCAGAGGAGGATGAGGAGGGGGGCGGATCGCGAGGAGGCGGGGGCGAGGGAGGTCGGAGGTGGAGCGGGCGCAAGCAACTCGAGCCGGCGTCGTGTTCGCCGTCGTCGCTGGAGTCCTCGCGCTTCGCCGTCGTGGCGCGCGCTCGCCGCTTTCGCGTCTTCAGCCGCGCCGTCGTCGGGCGTCTTCGTCGTGGGCTGGCGGCGCGGCCGCCGCGCCAGCGGCAAGAACGACGCCAAGCGGCAAGCGATCGGTGGATGACGCAGCGACGCCGCCATCACCACCTGTGCCATTGCAAACAACTGCGCTTCGCCGTGCCCACCAAATTGCTTTCGACGAAATGCCTGTGAGGCCTTCTCTGGTGGTAAGGCTACCAACCCACACTTCTATGGTATAGGCACGCAAACACGCTCAATGCAGCCTGGTCCGTTTAGTAGGTGGAGGCAAACAAGATGAGTTGCAGCGGTTGAGGCCGCCAAGACCGGCTCAGGCGTCATGGGCGGCCGAGCCGGGCCGCAACCACCCTACCTCGCAAACGCACCCTTAGGGTTTGGTGGGGGTTGTATGGTGGGGCTGGCCCGGCGGAACTGAAGTTTCGGGCCAAACGAAATTTGGGCGCGGGCCAAACTTGGCTCGGAAATTTGATCGGTATGTTTATATATTCCCAACAAAAGTTACGAAATTTTGGTTTTTCTTTTTAGCGAGATTTCAGCGAAATTGTGAACCCTTCGGTACCCAGCATGTTTTTTACTATTCAAATATGCTTATCATTTTAGTACAGAGGGAGTATATATATAGTAAACACCTAAATTCACCTCAGCATGGACGGCATTGGCATACATCCACAATCTCAACCAACTAATACAGTATAGGTTTAGCAATTTAAGAAAACAGACATACACGTAAGGACTTGCATGGTGATGCAACGCAAGACACACAATATTAATGCGAATAAGATACAACAATGATTTCACTTACCAAATTGTTGACTGGATAATAAAAAGTCTGCATGATCGTAACGTAATAGTGCGACACAAACATTCAATAGATTTAGATAGCACTTGCCGAACTTTTTTGACCAAAGGCTTGACAGCCCAGCTTGTATTGAAAGCTTAACAGAGTACTGCTGGTGTTACCAACTTACAGAAACCAGCACTTTGAAACTCCACCCGAAGCCCCTCTAACCCACCACCACGACAGTAACAGACTACATCCAAAAGCAGCATACTAAAACGAAAGAAAAAGGAACAACCACCAGCAGCCACAAAACAGTACAAGTACATGACAAAGGTCTTCAGAAGGCGCATCTCACCAGGTTGCCAGCCCTTCAACTTCAGCACCCAACCTTTCATCTTGCTCCGGTCCTCCTCCTTCGACCCCTTGGTCTGCTGTTTTTGAAACCAAGGGATTTGTTTGCCACCTGCTTAGCACTTGCCGAACTCAAAATGCCATAAAGCTAGTACTATAGCCACAAGCTAACATGTTGTCAACGAAATCTGGTCGACAGTTTACCGAAGGGTATATACACGGTAGTAGATGATCGGTGAAGGTGCGCGTAATAGGAACCGGATGGTGACACAAGGCGCAGAGACAGCGATTTAGACAGGTTCGGGCCGTCTGATCGACGTAATACCTTATGACATGTCTTTGTTGGATTGTATTGAATATGATCTGATTTCGAAGGGGTCCATGCCCACCTTATATAGTCTGAGGGACAGGGTTACAAGTAGGTTAGATTTACATCTATTCGGCTATATGATAAGTATTTACAATGAATACGATATCTATCATATCCGAACAGATGCTTCTCTATCTTCAAGATTCTTTACTGAAATTGTATGATGCATGCCGATCGGTGTCTTGCGTCACACGCCTTCTCCTTATGGGCTGGACCTACCCTGGTGGTGCGGCCCATGTCTACTGCCGTGGGTACCTGGGGTTATATCCCCACAGCTAGTCCCCGAGCGCCTTGTATCCGCTGAGCATCGTCGTCTTGAGCAAGTCCGAGTAGTTTATCTTATAATCAGATAGTAAATCTAGTAATCCGACCAGTTTAACTGCTAATCCAATCAACAAAATGAAGTGCCGACCAGTTTAACTGGTGATCCAAGCGGTGGAAGTTGAAGCCGACCAGTTTAACTGGTTAGGAGACCTCGGACTTAACCAAGTAAAGCTTGCCAAAAGGATATAAGGGGCTCAAGATTAATTTAAAAAATTATTCACCTCAGATGAAGTGTAGCCACTTAGACTCCGTTTGCAAGGTCGGATAATTATCATCCGTGACTTAGTCAATAAGGTGGGTAAATCAGAAAAAATTGCATTACATTCACCGTCAGGTGAAGTGTAGCCACTTAGTCCCCGAGTCTACTAGAAGATGAAGAACGAATCTTGTAGCAAGATCAAAGAAAATAAGTCTGAAAGCTTATCGATGTCATCTGATATGTGCGTATCAAGACCCAGACGTGCTGTCCAGAATCAGCACCCTGATCCAAATAACATGGAGCAACTTGATAGCACACCGATGAGACATAGCGAGATCCGAACGCCAAGGAAGTCCCCAGCTTAGCCGGTGACTCTTGCACGAAGAATCCTAACGCTGAGTCCTCAGCTTAGCTAGTGTGGCAGAACCACCTAATCTAATGCCTCTCAGGAGTACCCGTCTTCCATTAGACACTAAGCACTCAAGGGAGTACACCAAATTACTCGGTTCCGTCGGGCACACCCCAGGAGAGAACCCGAAAATCCACATTTTTCCATCAGGATCACAAATGAGAGAATAAAGCTTACATCATTCTTAACCATTTCTTACATCACTTTTATTACAACATCATAGTATAATATTTATTATTACAACAACAGAATATAATCATATTATCAGAGTTATAAACAATTTAATCGAACAGCAGAATATAAACATGTGATCGTAATTACAATGAAAATAAATATCTAATCATGACATAATGAAGTATTGATATATAAACTACGACAACAGATTATGAAACTTTCATTTATAAAAGCATTTGGTGAGAGTTATAAATAACAACTACGATCGCAACGTAAAGAAATTCTCATTGAGCCCACCAGAGGTATCCACACACAAGGGTCGGCTCTAGCATCCACCGTCACCGCAATGGGGGAATAAAACCCCGAGTACTCAATTATACTCAATAGAAGACTTACCCGACAGGAGGAAAGAAGACTCCAAGGATATGCAAGGCTATCTCGCTTGTGGGTTTATTGTATTTGTAGGAAGCATTACTAAGCGCATGCGTCCTTATATTTGATTTTTATTAATAGCCGCATTGGTTCATTAACTAACCATTCTATGTAAGCACCTGTGCTACTTTCAAGCATGTGGTAAGCAATCAGATTTTCTTTTTCTATCTTCCATCTTTCATCTTCAGTTCTTACTACGGTGCTAGTCATGAAACAAGCCGTACTTCGGATTGTCCGTGATTCAGCGAATCAATGCCCCTAATTTGGTACCCAAAATACACGCCCGATTATACCCAAGGCACAAGCAGGACCAACCCATCACCCTCTTGTCCTAGGGTCCTAGGTCCCCGTCCAAACTGGGACTCCAAGCCCCCGACCCTAAGTCCGGACTCGGTCTGGTGCAAGAACCTCCTCCACACAAAAAAAACCTGACAGTCAGTCCGGAAAAGAGCCGGAACCCACGACAAGAGAGCAACAAGTCTTCCAAACGCCCATACCCAAGTATGTGCTCGGGATAATAAGTCTATGACTTGCCTCGATGGCTTATGCAACGATCGGTCCTTAACCGACATAGATAGGGAAAGCAGTGTAACTAAGCTATGCCCCAGCGTCCATGGCGACACAACCTCTTACACCCATCAATACCCAAACCATATCCCTACCCGGTGACCAATTTCCTTTCCACCATTTATATTTTCCAAGTGATAATAATTCAAGAATATATTTCCTATCTCTCATGAGTGACAGTAATCACTGACTTTCTATCGAGTCCCAGAGAGTATAGCAATCTACACGATCCTATCATACTAGTAAGACTCATAGGATAAAGATATATATATATATATATATATATATATATATATATATATGCAAGTGGGTTTCATTCAACTCCTTAAAACTTAATGCACAAATATAATTGAAATTGCGAGAAAAGTAGGGGTTATGCA